TTCGCGCTCGTTATCCTCGTGGTGCTGCTCTCGGTCGTACTGCTCGCCGACGTGCTGGGCGTAGTGATGCTGCTGGTACCGGTCGTGCTCCTCACCCTCGTGGTGCTGCTCTCGGTCGTACTGCTCGCCGACGTGCTGAGCGTAGTGGTGTTGCTGGTCTCGTTCGCGCTCGTGGCCCTCGTGGTGCTGCTTTTTGTCGTGCTGCTCGCCGACGTGCTGAGCATGGTGGTGCTGCTGCTCCCGGTCGCACTCGTCACAGTCGTGGTGCTGCTCTCGGCCGTACTGCTCGACGACGCGCTGGGCGAGGCGGTGCTGCTGGTACGGGTCGTGCTCTCCACACTCGTGATGCTGCTCTCGGTCGTGCTGGGCGTAGTGGTATTGCCGGTGCCAGATATGCTCGTCCCAATCGTGGTGCTGCTTTCGGTCGTACTGCTCGCCGACGTGCTGGGCGTAGTGATGCTGCTGTTCTCGGTCGTGCTCGTCACAGTCGTGGTGCTGCTTTTGGTCGTACTGCTCGCCGACGCGCTGGGCGTGGCTGTGCTGCTGGTACCAGTTGTGCTCGTCCCGAACGTGATGCTGCTGGCGGTGGTTCTGCTCGCCGACGTGCTGGGCGCAGTGACGCTGCTGGTCTCGGTTGTGCTCGTCACACTTGTGGAGATGCTCTCGGTCGTACTGCTCGCCGACGTGCTGTGCGTAGTGGTGCTGCTGGTCTCAGTCGTGCTCGTCACACTCGTGGTGCTGCTCTCGGTCGCACTGCTCGCCGACGTGCTGGGCGTAGCGGTGCTGCTGGTAGGGGTCGTGCTCGTCACAGTCGTGGTGCTGCTCTCGGTCGTACTGCTCGCCGATGCGCTGGGCGTGGCGGTGCTGCTGGTCTCGGTCGTGCTCGTCCCGAACGTGATGCTGCTGGCGGTGGTTCTGCTCGCCGACGTGCTGGGCGTAGTGATGCTGCTGGTTTCGGTCGTGCTCGTCATACTCGTGGAGATGCTCTCGGTCGTATTGCTCGCCGACGTGCTAGGCGTAGTGGCGCTGCTGGTCTCGGTCGTGCTCGTCACAGTCGTGGTGCTGCTCTCTGTCGTACTGCTCGCCGACGTGCTGGGCGTAGTGGTACTGCTGGTGCCGGTCGTGCTCGTCACACTCGTGGTGCTGCACTCGGTCGTACTGCTCGCCGACGTGCTGGGCGTAGTGGTATTGCTGGTGCCGGTTGTGATCGTCCCACCCGTGGTACCGCTTTCGGTCGTACTGCTGGCAGACTTGCTGTGCGTGGTAGTGTTGCTGGTGCCGGTCGTGCTCGTCCCACTCGCGGCGCTGCTTTCGATTGTACTGCTCGCCGACGTGCTGGGCGTAGTGGTGCTGCTGGTCTCGGTCATGCTCGTCACAGTCGTGGTGCTGCTTTTGGTCGTACTACTCGCCGACACACTGGGTGTGGCAGTGCTGCTGGTGCCGGTCGCGGCTGCTGTCGGTCGTACTGCTCGCCAACGTGCTGGGCGTAGTGGTGCTGCTGGTGCTGGTCGTGCTCGTCACAGTCGCGGTGCTGCTTTCGGTCGTACTGCTCGCCGACGCGCTGGGCGTAGTGGTGTTGCGGGTGGCGGTTGTACTCGTCACCCTTGTGGTGCTGCTCTCGGTCGTACTGCTTGCCGACGTGCTGGGCGTAGTGGCGCTGCTGGTCTCGGTCGTGCTGATCATGCTCGCGGCGCTGCTCTCGGTCGTACTGCTCGCCAACGTGCTGGGAGTAGTGGTGCTGCTGGTCTCGGTCGTGCTCGCCCCACTCGTGGTGCTGCTGCTTTTCGTTTATACTGCTCGCCGACGTGCTTGACGTAGTGGTGCTGCTGGTTTCGGTCGTGCTCGTCACACTCGTGGTGCTGCTCTCGTTCGCACTGCTCGCCGACGCGCTGGGCGTGGTGGTGCTGCTGGTATCGGTAGTGTTCGCTACACTCGTGGTGCTGCTTTCGGTCGTGATGCTCGCGGACGTACTGTGCGAAGTGGTGTTGCTGGTCTCGGTCGTGCTCGTCACCCCCGTGGTGCTGCTTTCGGTCGCACTGCTTGCCGACGTGCTGGGCGTAGTGGTGCTGCTGGTACCGGTCGCGCTCGTCACCCTCGTGGTGCTGCTCTCGGTTGTACTGCTCGCCAACGCGCTGGGCGTAGTGGTGCTGCTGGTCTCGGTCGCGCTCGTGGCCCTCGTGGTGCTGCACTCGGTCGTGCTGCTCGCCGACGTGCTGGGCGTAGTGGTGCTGCTGGTCTCAGTCGTGCTCGTCACACTCGTGGTGCTGCTCTCGGTCGCACTGCTCGCCGACGTGCTGGGCGTAGCGGTGCTGCTGGTAGGGGTCGTGCTCGTCACAGTCGTGGTGCTGCTCTCGGTCGTACTGCTCGCCGACGCGCTGGGCGTGGCGGTGCTGCTGGTCTCGGTCGTGCTCGTCCCGCTCGTGATGCTGCTGGCGGTGGTTCTGCTCGCCGACGTGCTGGGCGTAGTGATGCTGCTGGTTTCGGTCGTGCTCGTCATACTCGTGGAGATCTCTCGGTCGTATTGCTCGCCGACGTGCTAGGCGTAGTGGCGCTGCTGGTCTCGGTCGTGCTCGTCACACTCGTGGTGCTGCTCTCGGTCGTACTGCTCGCCGACGTGCTGTGCGTAGTGGTGCTGCTGGTCTCAGTCGTGCTCGTCACACTCGTGGTGCTGCTCTCGGTCGTACTGCTCGCCGACGTGCTGGGCGTAGTGGCGCTGCTGGTACGGGTCGTGCTCGTCACACTCGTGGTGCTGCTTTCGGTCGTACAGCCCTCCGACGTGCTGGGCGTGGTGGTGCTGCTGGTCTCGGTCGTGCTCGTCACACTCTTGGTGCTGCTCTCGCTCATGCTGCTCGCCAACGCGCTGGGCGTAGCGTTGCTTCTGGTGCCTATCGTGCTGATCATACTCGCGACGCTGCTTTCAGTCGTACTGCTCGCCGACGTGCTGGGCGTAGTGGTGCTGCTGGTCTCGGTCGTGGTCGCCACCCTCGTGATGCTGCTCTCGGTCGTACTGCTTGCCGACGTGCTGGGCGTAGTGGTGCTGCTGGTAGCGATCATTCTCGTCACACTCGTGGTGCTGCTCTCGGTCGTAGTGCTCACCGACGTGCTGGGCGTAGTGTTGCCGTTGGTACCGGTTGTACTCGTCATACTCGTGGTGCTGCTCTCGGTCGTACTGCTATCCGTCGTGCTGGGCGTGGTGGTGTTGCTGGTATCCGTTGTACTCGTCATACTCGTGGTGCTGCTCTCGCGTGTATTACTCACCGATGTGCTGGTCGCAGGGGTGCTGCTGGTGGCCGTCGTACTCGTGATACTCGTGGTGCTGCTCTCGGTCGTACTGCTTTCCGACGTGATGGGCGTAAGGGTGCCGCTGGTATTGGTCGTAGTACTCTCCAACGTGCTTGGCGTAATGATGCTGGTGGCGGTCGTACTCGTGATACTCGTGGTGCTGCTCTCGGTCGTACTGCTTTCCGATGTGCTTCGCGTAGTGGTGCCGCTGGTACAGGTCTTACTCGTCACACTTGTGATGCTGCTCTCGGTCGTGCTGTTCGCCAAATCGCTGGGCGAGTGGTGCCGCTGGTACTGGTCTTACTCGTCATACTCGTGGTGCTGCTCTCGGTTGTACTGCTCGCCGACGTGCTGGGCGTAGTGGTGCCGCTGGTACTGGTCGCACTCGTCATACTCGTTGCTGCTCTCGCTCGTACTGCTCACCGACGTGCCGGACGTAGTGGTGCCGCTGGTACTGGTCGCACTTGTCACACTCGTGGTGCTGCTCTCGGTCGGACTGCTCACCGACGTGCTGGGCGTAGTGGTGCCGCTGGTCTCGGTCGTGCTCGTCACACTCGTGGTGCTTCTCTCGGTCGTACTGCTCGCCGACGTGCTGGGCGTAGTGGTGCCGCTGGTACCAGTCGCACTCGTCATACTCATGGTGCTGCTCTCGGTCGTAGTGCTCACCGACGTGCTGGGCGTAGTGGTGCCGCTGGTGCCGGTCGTACTCGTCATGCTCGTGGTGCTGCTCTCGGTCGTCCTGCTACCCGACACGCTGGGCGTAGTGGTGCCGCTGGTACCGGTCGCACTCGTCATACTCGTGGTGCTGCTCTCGGTTGTAGTGCTCACCGACGCGCTGGGCGTAGTGGTGCCGCTGGTACTGGTCGCACTCGTCATACTCGCGTTGCTGCTCTCGGTCGTACTGCTTTCCGATGTGCCTCACGTAGAGGTGCCGCTGGTACAGGTCGCACTCGTCATACTCGTGGTGCTGCTCTCGGTTGTAGTGCTCGCCGACGCGCTGGGCGTAGTGTTGCCGCTGGTACCGGTCGTACTCGTCATACTGGTAGTGCTGCTCTCGGTTGTACTGCTCGCCGACGTGCTGGGCATAGTGGTGCCACTGGTACCAGTCGCTCTCGTCACAATCGTGGTGCTGTTCTCGGTTGTATTGCTCTCCGACGTGTTGGGCGTAGTGGTGCCGCTGGTACTGGTCGTACTCGTCATACTCGTGGTGCTGATCTGTGTCGTATTGCTCACCGACGTGCTGAGCGTAGTGGTGCTGCTGGTACCGGCCGTACTCATAACATACGTGGCGCTGCTCTCACTCTTGCTGCTCGCCGCCGTGGCCTCGTCTTCCTCTTCATCAACCTCCTCAGCCCCCTCCTCGACCTCCTCGACCTCAGCCTCTTCGTCTTCCTCCTCCTCCTCCTCCTCGTTCTTCTCCTCTTCCTCTTCCTCCTCCTCCTCCATATTCTCCTCACCCTTGTCCTTGACCTCCTCAACCTCTGCCTGTGGGCACTTGGCCACCGCCGCGTCCCAGACGGCCTCGACGTCTGTCTTGCAGTCGGGGTTGAACTTGATGTTGGGGAACTTCTCCGTGATCACCTGGCAGATCTCGTCAACGGCCTTGTCCTCGTCCTGCTTCTGCGACGCAACCTCGCAAATGAGCTTCTCCATGTCCGCCAGGCTCGGCAGCGTCAGCTGCGCCTGCGGGCAGTTGGCCACCGCCGCGTCCCAGACGGCCTCGACGTCTGTCTTGCAGTCGGGGTTGAACTTGATGTTGGGGGTCTTCTCCGTGATCACCTGGCAGATCTCGTCAACGGCCTTGTCCTCGACCTGCTTTTGCGACGCGGCTTCGCAGATGCGCTTCTCGATGTCCACCGGGCTCGGCAGCGTCAGCTGCGCCTGCGGGCACTTGGCCACCGCCGCGTCCCAGACGGCCTCGACGTCTGTCTTGCAGTCGGGGTTGAACTTGATGTTGGGGGGCTTCTCCGTGATCACCTGGCAGATCTCGTCAACGGCCTTGTCCTCGACCTGCTTCTGCGACGCGGCTTCGCAAATGAGCTTCTCCATGTCCGCCAGGCTCGGCAGCGTCAGCTGGGCCTGCAGGCACTTGGCCACCGCCGCGTCCCAGACGGCCTCGACGTCTGTCTTGCAGTCGGGGTTGAACTTGATGTTGGGGGGCTTCTCCGTGATCACCTGGCAGATCTCGTCGACTGCCTTGTCCTTGACCTGCTTCTGCGTCGCGACCTCCACGGCCTCCTCCGCGGCGAGGGCGACGCCGCGCAGGAGGGGGAACAGGGCGCCGACCGCCGCCGGCGGCCACCAACGTGCACATGGCAGCCGCCGCGGGGGCCCCCGCCTCCGCCTCCGCCTCCGCACGTCGACGTCCACCTCCATGGCCCCGGAGTTGAGGGAGGGGAGAGCGGGGGGGAGAAGGTTGAGTGAGCGGGGCGAGGGGGCCCGGCGGGCCTCCTCCTCCTCCTCCTCCTCCTCCTCCTCTCCTCCTCCTCCTCCCTCCTCCCTCCTCCTCCTCCTCCTCCTCCTCCTCCTCCTCCTCCTCCTCCTCCTCCTCCTCCTCCCCCCCCGCATCGCCCCAGGAACCGTTTGGCTCCGTCGCCCCTGGGGGGGGGCCGCGGGGTCGCGCCGAGCTTCCGCGAGCCGTTCTTGGGGCCGCGCGCCATAGCTGTCTGGCGGCAGCTGTCTGGCGGCAGCCGGTGGCGGCGCGGCGCCGATTCGGCGCGATCTGAGCGGGGCCGAGTTTCTGAAGTCTCTGGAGGCGTCCTGGGATCCATCGAGATGGGGCGCAGGGCCACTCGTCGGCCGCGTTCCGTCGGGCGCAAGCGGGTCTCGTTCGAACGGCCCTGGCCCCGTTGTTCGGCCTGCCGCCGCTGCGAGTGGGGCGATCTGCTGGAGGCTCAGAGTTGGCGGTGCTCCTGCGGCCCCAAGGTGGCGCAGTTCCATGCCCCCTCCCAGCCTCGACCACGTGGTGGTGCTAGCGGTCGTGGGCGCGGCGGGCCTGGCGGAGCTCCCGGCGCCGGCGGGGCGGCTGCCGACCAGCTGCAGGGGCCTTAGCGCGCGACAGCTCGGCGCCTCCCGAGCTGGCCGCGGCGCCGCGGGTCGCTGAGGTTTGCGCTTAGGCCGCGGCGGCCAAGGCGAAGGCGAAGGGGCCGACGCTGGGCGACGCGCGCCGACGGGCGGCCGGCGAGTGCAAGAACCGCCACGGGCGTCGCCAGGCCGCAGTGGATCAGGTCGCGCGCTGCCGCGCAGGCCTTCGAGCGGCCGAGGCCCGCGCGCGGGAGTTCGCCCTGCTGCTGGCCGAGGCCGCCGAGCAGAGGGCTGCCGCTGCGGCGGCGGCGCCGGGAGCCCCCGCGCCTTCCGCGGGCGCAGCCGCCTCGGCGACGGCCGCCGAGTCGGCCGAGCTCTTCCAGCCGCGCTGGGGCGATTCGATCTTCTCGGCGGACGTCCTGGAGGAGCTCAGCGAGCAGGGGCGCGGCAGCCTGGCCAGCCTCCGCGAGGAGCTCCTGGCTGCGAAGGACCTCCTCCAGCCCCATTCGGGCGAGGTCCGCGAGAAGCTTTCTGCCGCGCGGCGCCTGGCCGCCACCGGCCGCCAGCGCTTGGCCAAGAAGCGCGAGGGCAGCAACGGCGACGCCCGGGGCCCTGCGCAGGCGACGGCAGCACCAGCTGCAGCGCCTGCAGCGGCGCCCGCAGCAGCAGCAGCAGATTCACCAGCGGCGCCAGCTGCAGCGGCCCCCCCCCCGACGACGTTGCCGCCGCGAAGTGCGCTGGTGCTGCCCCAGGAGCTCCTGCCGAGAAGGCAGGCGACCCCGCGCTGGCCGCGGCTGCCGCCAAGCTGCGCAAGGCCAAGTTCCGGGCGGCCGAGCAAGCGACCGCAGCCACGGCAACTCGCGGCGCAGGCGCCGCCTGCCGCCCTCGCGGCGTCGCCCGACGCCGAGGGCCGCGACCTGCGACGCCAGGCGCCGCCAGCGGCTACAAGGGTAGCCGCTGGCACGGCTGGCAGCGGCGCGCAGCCGCACAGTTCTGATATTTCTGGCAGCGATGACGGTTTGCCTGGCGCCGTGGGGCCAGCCACTGCCCCGCGACGAGCCACCCCGCCACAGCCGCGCCCTCATCTTCGCGAACATCACTGCGACGGGGCCGCTGGCGTGGGAGTTCGCGGAGAAGGAGTGCGCCGGCTACGTTTTTCTGGGCTTTGCGGTGACACGCGTCCGCCTCTCGGTCAAGATGGAAGAGTGGGGCCGCAAAGCGAAGCGCGCTGGATGGCGAGTCCGCGCCAACCCCGCCCTCGCCTCGAGCGGACGGGGGCACTGAGGGCGGCGAGTGACTGCTCGCCCGTCAGCATCTCCACGCGCGCCGCCTAGAGGCCACCGCGCCCGCGCCCAGACAGCTGCGTGTACCCGCCTCCTCCGGCCTGGACGGTCCCCGGGCCAGCGCGCTGCGCATTCAGGGGTGCGCCGTGGTGGCCATCGTCTTCCACGCCTTCTCGTCTCTTGGCTGGGCGGGAGATAACTTGCGCGGGCGCGCTCGCCTCGGCGCGCTACTCGCGGTCCATCAGCTGCCCTGGCTGGTGCTCGGCGACTTCGGCGCGGGGCCGCTGGTCTTGCCGCGGCGTGGTTTTGTGGGGCGGGTCGGCGGGCACTTGCTGCAGTGCAGTGCGACCTTCACTTGTGATGCTGGTGCCTCGTGATCGCACATCGACTGCGGCTTATGCTCGACATCCTGCCTGCCGTGCATCGCGGGGTTCCGCGACGTGTGGGCCGTCCCCTGGAGGACGCACTGCGGCCTCGCGGTGGGGCTCCTCGGCGGCGGCCAGCAGTTGATGACGCGCCGGTCCGTGGCGCCGAGGCCGCTGCCCGCGGGCGCCCGCCCCCGCCCGCCGGCGACAGCTTCTGCCAGGCGGCGCGAGGCGCGCGCCCGCAGAGACGCCGCTCGTCTCAAGCGGGGCGATTTCTTGAAGGAGGCTTTCGGCAACCAGTCGGGGGCACTCAAGGCTGATGCGCCCACTGAGGGCACAGATGGCGAAGGGTTCTCCTCCAGCGACGGCGACAAGTCGCGCGGCGGCGGCAAGTTTCTTGCTGCTGCCGCCGCCGCAGGATGCGCCCCCCGCGAGGGGGGGTGGCGCGCCCTCTGGCAGTCCGCCTCAGCCCAGCACTCGCAGCCTCAACACCTTCGCCGAGTCGCCGCTGCTGGCCGCCGCCCGCGACGCCGCGCCCGCTGCCGGCGAAGGCGAAGGTGACCGACCCCAGGCCCCATATTCCCAGGCGTTACCCCATGGATGAGGACGACGCCGGCCCGTTCGACTGCCTGGACGGGGGCGAGGGGATCGAGGGCCCCCCGTGGCCGTGCTGCACCCGGAGGGTGTTTCCGACCGCCAGAGGATGGCGGCCGAGCGGTGGTTGAGGAGGTTGGTGGAAATCAGTCTCAGAGCCACTTTGGCTCCGGGGCGAGGCAATCACAGCCTCTGGCGCCCCGCCCTGTCACCTCTCTTTCGCCCGTTCGCGACGATAGCCCAGACGACGATGGAGACATTACTTATTGGATTTCTGATCACGCGCTTGGGGGCGGGCGGCCGACGCCAGAGCTCCAGCTTCTACGCCGCGGGCTGCGACTGGCGAGTCGGCCGCCGACCGCGTCGGTGCCGCGGTCATCGGGCCCCTCGGCGACGCCGACGCCAGATGGGTTCGTCAGGTCGAGGCGGCTGAACGTCGCCACGCACGGGAACCTCAGCAAGGCCGAGACCTCTCCCGAGGCGATGGTGAAGAGGCAACCCGACGTGGCCGACGAGATGGTCGACCCACAAGGATGTCAGTCCTTCGTGTTCCCCCGCGACTTGGTGGGCCACGAGGCCAGAGTCTGGCACGAGCTGTGGGCGCCCCGCCAGGAGGACACGCACGCGGTCGGCACCTCCTGGAGCGAGCTGCGCGGGCTGCTCGGCTTCAAGGACCTCCCCGCGCTGGACCTTCCTCAGCTGAGAGCCGCCTTGAAGCGCATGCGCCCTCGCGCAGGCAGAGGCGTCGACCAGCTACGCCCTACTGACGTCAAGCTGATGCCCGACTGCGCCCTCACTGAGCGCCTCGACCTGTGCTCAAAGTGCGAGCAGGCAGGATACTGGCCATGGCAGCTGCTCATGGTCACGATTCAGCTTTTGGCCAAGGAGGCGGGTGGCGAGCGCGTGATCGGCATCCCCTGCATGACCACGCGCATCTGGGGCCAAGCCCGCGAGCCCATCGCCCAGGACTGGAGTCGCGACGCGGCTCCGCCCTGGGACGCCGCGGTCCGCGGGAACGCCGCTGTCTTCGAGGCCTTCGTCCGTGCCGCGGGCGAGGGGGCTGGCGCATGCGCGCGCCATGTTCGACATCAAGGCCGTCTACGACTTCATGGACTGGGCCAAGCTCGGGCGCGCCGCGCCACGGCTGGGCACCCCGCACAATTCTCGCCCTCGAGCTCCAGCTGCGCCTCGCCCCTGGATCTTGATCCGCGACTGTGCCGCATCGCTGGCCTTCCAACCCACTGGGTCTATCGTGCAGGTGCTGCGTTCGGGGGCGCGGTTTGCGCGGTGCCTCACTGCATATCGGATTGGACCACGCAGTCCAAGCCGACAGGTATCCTGGCCCCTCGCATCTGGATCGGCGATTTGTCCAGAGCGGCGGTCGGCGCGGAGCTAGTCGCGGAGAGCGCATTGGTCGCTACCGTTGCCGGGGCCTGCGACGCGTTCGTCACCGACGGCCTCCGCATCTCGCCGAAGAGCGCGGTCATTGCAACCGCCGCGGGCTGGCCAGGCACATCCGTGGACGCTCTCCGCGCCATGGGCCACGCCGTCTCGGCCGCCAAGTGTTCGCCGCGCCTTGGTGTCGACCTCGCAGCGGGCAAAGGCGCGCGGCGACCCACTCGGACCAGCAGGACGAAGAAGGCTGTCAAGTCGCATTTTCGTGTTCGAGGTTTCGCGGGGGCCAGCAAGCAGCATCGCACCTGCTCGCGGATCGAGATGGCGCCACCCCAAGCTGCCGCCAGCTACGGGCGCCAGATCCTCGGGGCCCCAGCATCCTGGCGGCGCAAGGCCCGTCAGCGCCTCGGCGCCGTCAGCGCCGCAGCTGGCAGGGGGAAGTGCCTCGCCGCCGCCCTGCAGCTCCAGCGCGGCGCACAGGGTCTTGCACGCCGCCTCGCACGACAACAGCTCGAGCTCTGGTTCCAAGCATCGCGTCGTGAT